TTTCCAATGCCCTCATGCCAAGGCGGCTTGGGATGCCCTGTTTCCGTCTCTCCCCCTCGCTCCTCAGGGAACCCTGTTCCTTGACTGGTTCTACTCTCTTAAAGATGTTGTTCAGCACAGCTCCTTGATCCATATTGTGTTCCTGTGCTGGAATATCTGGAAGGCGAGGAACGAATGCTCTTTCAAGAATAGAAAACCGTGGCCTCCGCAGGTGTGCCAACTCACCTACAAAGAGCTTTCTGAATGGAATTCATGCCCGAGGAACCCTCCTCCCTTGCCTTACATGCCCACTCAGCTCAGGGACTCCCAGTCTCATACAAATCCACCGCCAAGTAATCATTCTTTGGTGATTCACTGTGATGGGTCGTACATTAGCGACTCCCAGCCGGCGGCATATGGTGTTGTGGTTGTTAACCACCATGGACAAGTATGTGATGGGCGAGCTGAGGATCTTCTTTGTTCCACCCCGATTGAAGCTGAAACAAAGGCCTTACTTGAAGGAGTGAAATTAGCTCAAGAATATGGATCTGAGTGTACGGTCCAGTCTGACTGTCAGGTGTTGGTGAAAGCCTTGGATTACGATCGCTCTCGGTGGCCATGGAGATGTGCAGCCTGGATCGGGTCGATTGTTGCCATCCTTAGGACAAACCCTCTCATCAAGATCAAGGAAGTACCCCGAGCACTTAATGTCAGAGCTGATTGGGTAGCTCGATCAAAAGCTCGAAATACTCTCCCCGATGATTGGATTAATATTCTTGACCTCATTTCTGATCTTCTTTAAGATTTGTAACCATGTTTCATGTCTTTCATTTCTTGGTGGAATAAAAGTTGGTAATCTTTGTCAAAAAAAAGATTGCGTGAGAGAGGCTACAAGAAAGTCCAGTTTAATATGGACTTCACTGCCGCCATTGATATTTCCATGAAGTGTTTTGATGATGAGCACCGCCATGGGATCTTGATTCTTGGCTAGACATATTCATGTTCTTCTTAATAGAGAATGGGAGGTTAGAATTAACCATGTGTATAGGGAACCTAATGTTGCTGCTGATTTCTTAGCAAATAGGAGTCACTTGTTGATTTTGGCACACATCGCTTCAATGTATGCGGCCCTGATCTTGATTGATGGTTGGTGTACGATGTAATGGGCACTGCTCATGATCGCTAAATACTCTCTACTATGAATTAGTCCATATTATAATTTACCAATATCATATAAAAACTTGTTCTCGTTTATCACAAAAAAAAAAACTCGTTCTCTTCTCTAGTTCCCGGCCATGAGTCCAAACTCACCCGATACCCTCTTCCCTTTCGTAGATTAATCCTCCAAACTAGCTTTGTACCTGGCTTATTGGCCAGGAAGTTTCATTTTATCATTTACATTGATTCATTCATTGTTATATTTAAATTATTTTAAATATTCTAAGTTTTTTTATGGTATTTAAATTATTCATAAAATATATATTTTAGTTTTTTTTCAGTGAATATAAGCCAAACTCTCAATACTTGGCCAATATTTTTTAATCCTTATTTCAGCAAAACATGTTTCTTAAATAAAATACTCAACTCAATGGTATCAAGATCTTAATCGAGTAATATGACTCATAGTTCGATTATCGATTCATAAGTGAGTGTGTAGATATTAAAATTTTCCAATATTTAGCATAATTATTTATAATAATTCAGTGCTCAAATCACAACTCATTTTGTGGAGGTTTATCACTACTCCGACGGAAATCGAGGGCATAATTCCTCTGCTCAGATCTGGAGTGGTTGGATAAATACGACGAGCCAGAGCTGGGGTCGGAAAATGGCGACGGACGCGTCACCTGTACTCCTTCGTCGAGAGAGTCGGCACAAAGTAAGGTGAATGATTCTACCGTCAGAAGCGAGGGAGAAATAGTCTGTGGTGATAACAACAGCGAGGCTGGAGACTTTGAAAGGAAGGGAGAGGAAGGAAGAAAGTTACGGGACGAAGGGGCGAGGGGAAACAAATTATTGTTTTCTGGTTGGGGTTCCATTCGAGCCTTAGTTGGTTTGAGTGTGTCATGTTAGGTTTAGTTGATTGAGTTTCTAATTTTTAATTAATTTTTTGTTGACGTGGCATGCTGACAGTATTTAGTTAACAGATTTTTGGATGTAATGGACGAAATAACCTTTTGGTTACTCGTTCAAATGTGTTTGACTGAAAAGTGCAAAATTAAACTTTAGTGGCCGTTTGTACTAAATGACAAGTTGTGTGACCGTTTATGATAGTTACCCTATATTACTAGGGTTAATATATTTGTGTGGCATCAACTTTATACATAATAAACATCCTAACCAATCTTTTCGATCTATAACATTATGACCTGAACTATACATCAAAACAACGAAATTGGCCAAACCCGAATATTGACCGTTATCTTGGACGGTCAACACACCACGTCACTGCCAAGTCAGCACCTTTCACTTGAATTTTTTTTTATATCTTCCACCTATTACTATTTTTTTCAATTTGAATAAAAAAATTGATAAATGATTTTCTGGGCCCGAAATATATTAATCCATACTATTATATGAAAATTTCAGTCCATACAAATATATTAACCCATATTATATATTATATGATCATTTTTCCTTTTATAGTAAAAAGAATAAACATATGACATTTGCATTAGTGTACTTACTTGGCACCGCAAAGATTCAAAATACCACATAGCAAAACAACAATCTACACAATAAATAAAAGCCAAATGAGAAAACTTGAAGCCCCATTTTAAATTTCCTGTATCCAGAGTGAAAGTAGGAAGGACATTTTGGTGTAAAGGTGTAGGAATGGGGAGGGAGAGGCGGTCGCGGTGGTGTAAAGACGGCGACGGGCGCGGCAGGGGCGATGGGTGCAGCGCGGCCTTGCAGGGGGCGGCGGGGGTGGCGTCGGCGTGAGGAGGACAGAAAGGAAGGCGGCAGCGGCGACGGTGATGGAGGTCGGTGATGAAGCTCTTTGACGGCTAGGGTTTTTTTGTTAGAGATAGGTGAGAGGGAAAGAGGAGGGAGACGAAGGGAGTGGGGGGATTCTGATTTTTTTTGTTTTGTTTGTGCAAGAGGGGGAAGACGGGAAATTAATTTGTCACCATTATGAAAACAACTTTTTAAGCAAAAGGGACTGCTCAACAGAAAAAAGGCCACAGGCTGTCAAGAACCAGTTGATCCTAATAACTCGAGTTTTTGAGAGAGGTTCAATCGTGCATTTTATACCACTCTCTAACACGCCCCCTCAAACGAAAGCCAACCCATGGGCTTGAAGTTTGCACAGGCCCACCATACCATGTGCTTGAAAGACAACGGTTAATATTGGGGGTCGTGGAGATTCGAACACATGACCTTTCGGTTCTAGGCTCTAATACCATGTCAAGAACCAGTTGGTCCAATAACTCGAGTTTTTTATAGAGGTTCAATCGTGGATCTTATACCACTCTCTAACACAAAGAAGCTGTTTTCTTGTATTGATTTCTTTTCAATAAAATAAAATAAATAACAAACAATCCATCTTTCAGCCACAATCTCATAAATGTTGATGATCATAATTTTAGCACACACATGCAGATTTCTCTTTTGTGCCTTGGAATCAGTAGTTATTTTCCTTGTCACATGTTGCTTGGTCTCTTGTGAAGCATGCAACTTCGTTTTCCTTCCTCTATCATCACCTACAGTTTGTTACACATCTTGTGTTTCCAGTTTCCTTTTGCTCTTATTTATAAATAACCTTAGATTTTTGGCTTGCGCTTTGAGACAGTTATAAACTAAAATTATTTTTGCAATAAAATTCCATCCACTCATTAAACAATTGAATTGTAATACAAATATTCACAAAAAAATTCAAGTAAGACATTTTTATAAGTTTTACGTAGTGTCTTAGTTATTACGAAAGACTTATGTAATACGTTCGTTTGATAAATACATAAGAAATAACTATCAGTGCAACCTTCGTATAAATTTCGCATAATTTATGTAATGCAAATTGACAAGAAAATATAGTAGGTAATAATAGACGAATTTTATTTAATAATAAGTGAATTAAGTTACAAAATGTATCATATTTGATTAAACAATTATGTAAAACATAATCAAATTTACAAAGTCTTTATGTAACACAAATTGATGAGATCGTCAACAATTTAGTTAATAATTTAGAAATTTTCATTCAAACTTTTATCATAAAAGACGAAGAAATGCCTTGCTTAGGAATTCTGTGGCGAGCTAGGTATCGACAAGTACAACACGACGAAGTAAGGCAATAGCTAGGTATCGCCTAAGAGTACTTAGTTGGAGTGAGACAATCAATATCAAAGAGGGAAATTAACACCATCTACATACTCAATCTTTCAATGGCTAAAAAACTTGGTGAGTTATTGAGTTATGGCTCAATGAACTTGTGAGCTATTTTTCTTGTTGTTAAGTGTTAATTAAGTATTTAAGTTATAATCATTGAACTAAAGTGTAAGTTTTGTGAACTATTATTTTATTCATCATGTAGTACAAACTATTAATTCTGATTTGCCTAGGTGAGCTAGATACTAAACAAGCCCCAACACCCTACGTCTAGAGCCTTTTTTAATCTTGCCCAGACTTCATAATTTTGGGGAAATTTCTTGGTGACACCGACGGAGTTGTAATCCTGAAACCCAAATGGTCCTCTCATGGATTTACTGACTAATCATAGAAGCTAAAATGGCTAAATTACACGTTTGGTCACTCAAATTATACAAATCTTTCACGTTTGCCACCCGAATTATTTTTCTTTCTTATTCGCCACTAACTTTACGAATCGTTTCACGGTTGGTCACCGGCCGTTACACTCCGTTAAGTTTGTCCTACGTGGCAGTCAACTATAAAGTTTGACCGTTAACTAGATGACGTGGAAATTAAAAAAAATAAAAAAAATAATTTTTTCTTTCTACCTCATCATTGCACTTATTTTGTCTATATAATTTATCATATTAATAATTTAATAAAATTTAATAGATTATAAAAATGGACACCCAGAGGCGAAGCTCATGGACGTCGGCGCTCCAGGTATCGGGGACGAGATTGAAGTCGGAAAACCGAGGCTTCCCCTTCAGCGTGACGCTCCTAATCCTCGGGAACCGGCGGGCGACGATCTCTGGCGAGACGGAGTAGCAGTTCCTGATGAATACGTGGCGGCGGGACCAGCTATCGGCGGCGAGGTTTGGAGATGGCTCCTTCCAGTCCAGCTCTAATCCAATTGAAGAAGAAGAAGCAAACTTAGGCCTCCCCCAAATCTCGTCGTCAATCCTCTCGTTCCCATACCTATCACGAATTAGACTCTTGTATCGTCCAGAACCAACAAACCTACACAACACCAATTACGGGAAATCATCGAATCGAAGTATCAAACCCCAATATTGAATCGAGATGGGACAACGGTTTAACTAATTAAGCTGTGTGTTTTGAGGAAACTGACTCGGAGAGTTCATCGACAGCTGCGTGAACTTCGTCCGCCGACGGCGGCGGGGCGAGTGCCAAGTACTCGTCGGCCAACCCATAGATAACCTCCTTATCGTCGCAAGAGCTCCCGTCGGCGGAAACCCACTCCCAATCCCTGCCGTACTCGTCGAACGGGGAGCCGTAGGGAGCAGCCAAAGGCGAGGTAGTCCAGCCAATCGGAAGCGCTCCGCCGGGACCGGCCGATAGAGTGAGACCCGAACCGGACCCGGATCCGGAAGCTGTCGGCTTTCGGGCCTGCCTGGAGGACGGGCTCGCCGCCGCCGCCGCTGGAGCAGGGGAATTGGGGGCGGACGTCGGTGAAATGGGGTCACCGCCACTCCAGCCCGAGTAACCGCTCTCCCAAGACCTCTCATCATGTTCCCCCCGCCGCCGCCAATTCCGCACATCCCTCTGCCTCCGCCCAAAAACATGCTTATCGTTTCCCCCCTCAGCGCCGGTAACTGACCTCTCCCCCTCTTATCTATTGGTAACGATAGCTGGTCCCGCCGCCACGTATTCATCAGGAACTGCTACTCCGTCTCGCCGGAGATCGTTGCCCGCCGGTTGCCGAGGATCAGGAGCGTCACGCTGAAGGGGAAGCCTCGATTTTCCGACTTCAATCTCGTCCCCGATACCTGGGGCGCCGACGTCCATGAGCTTCGCCTCTGGGTGTCCATTTTTATAATCTATTAAATTTTATTAAATTATTAATATGATAAATTATATAGACAAAATAAGTGCAATGATGAGGTAGAAAGAAAAAAAAAAAAATTTATTTTTTTTAATTTCCACGTCATCTAGTTAACGGTCAAACTTTATAGTTGACTGCCACGTAGGACAAACTTAACGGAGTGTAACGGCCGGTGACCAACCGTGAAACGATTCGTAAAGTTAGTGGCGAATAAGAAAGAAAAGTAATTCGGGTGGCAAACGTGAAAGATTTGTATAATTTGAGTGACCAAACGTGTAATTTAGCCCCAAAATAGTCGTAGATGCACTAGTCAAAATCCTTCATCTTCTAAAACAGAACATACACGATGTTAGCCTGCTACTGTGCCACGAGGCAAGCTACCGTGATAATTCAAGAAATTTTGGATTTGCGTATCATTTCTATTTTTTATTAATTAGTTCGCATTATGAAGTTATTTTAGGGATTTCACATTATTTATTATTACTATTTGTTGTAGTAAGCATTGCATTGTTTTTTAGTAACTTTTAAGATTTAATTACTATTTTATTGTGGGATAAGCTTCATGTTTTGTGTAGGAAAAGAAGAGAGAGGCCAATCACATTATTTATTCATTACTAGGTTAATGTTATGAGAAGATTGAAACCCAAATAGTTGTTTACATTCTTACTTTTATCACTTTTATCGTAGTTTCTTTTTATTATTCTAGCTCATATATGAGCTTGAGAAGTCTTTTCCACCAAATTCTTGTGTCGTAACAACCGCACTATCAACAAACGCAAGTGCAAGTCTAACCATACCCTGAGATGGCGAAAACTTTGGCCATCATAACTAAACACACTGTGCATTATCAATTGAGCCATGATCGACATGTTGCACCAAATGGAGCAAATTTTCAAATTTCTTGAAACTCTGAAGGAGCGCAAAGTTCCACTTGCATCATATAATGTGAAGGGGGATATTAATCAATGGTAACAATGGTTGGATCACACTTATGACACATCAGGAATGGCGATTACTTGGCATTTGGACCATTGGAGGCAAACTCTAATCATGAGACATTGGCTAAGATGAAGCAAACTGGATCTTTGAGCGATTAACTCTCAGGCTTTTGAGAAGTTGGGCAATCACATAGAGAATTAGTGCTTCTGCCAGACAGCAAAGACACCAATAGTCAGCTGGAGGTCTCAACTTGGATGACCACAAGGTGGTCAGAGTTAACTGTAGTTCCATTTCAGTTTTAAGATACACACAAGACAAATCATAATTCCAAACTAGAAAATGATTCCCTAATTTGTAATTCCTTGGTGAACAATACAACTTCCAGACCTGGATTTCAAAAAAAAGTGGATTTGTTCCTAAACCCTAAAACTTGAGATGAACAAAAAATGGACCAAAAGGAAAGATGACAATAGGGTGGTGGGGAGGAAAAGAAAACACAGATCCAAAAAGAATCAAAGATTATCATCACTCTACAGCTCATATGTTACAAAGTAAGGGTGAGAGGCGTGGGAGTGTAGTCTCGTTGGTCCATAAGCCACATACATCGCAACCCGGTCGATTTCGTCGGCTCCAACTCAAGAAGAGAATTTACCATCCAACATTCTGCTGCTGGTAAGGGGGATTGATTGTGCAAGCTACATCGACAAGAAGGGGGAAGGGAGCACTTTTCTTTATACAATTGCAGTTTGGGGGGCATAATAGAGCAGTTGGCCTTAGTGAAACTCAACCTCCTTTGCCTTCTTTAAGCACCTGCCCCCCAGAGAGTATAACAAGCCCATCAGGTAGGTAAATTTTTGGCTTTGCTAGCAAATGCGCAATCTTAATTATAACATCATCATCGTCAATCATCAATCATGAATGGTGATTGCCGTGGACCATCAAAGTTATGCGCTTAGCACTGTCTGCCAGAAAGCTATCTCCTTTATACCCAATCTGGAAGGAGCAAATCATACGTGCTTCAACAACTAATGCAAACTCAACACAAGCAAGCAAACAAGCAAACATAACTAACTGTCTCAAACTTATGAATTTGACTAACGTTTCACCATTCTGCCTCCCAGAATTTAACCATTTACCACGTAAATGTAATTGCGTACCAGAAAGATAGAGGCAAGAGTATTTACCTCGTGAGAGCTATCTGGTAGGAACCACCGCAACAGCACCCCTAGATGTACCACTGCTGGAATTAGCTTGAAAAGAAATGGCGTTGTCACCTGCACCAATCAATATCAACCAAGTTCAGCCTCCAGCCACCGCTAGAATCTAGAAGCACTAAAGATCGTCATTTGGAATTTCATACTATAGAAATGTGATGTGGTTTCAAATGTCCTTGGTGCAAACCATCAGAGGACCAGCGTAAGTAACAGGCAAGCAATGAATGGAAATCGATTCATTATGCAAAAACTCAGTGTTTCTTGTCCTGCTTAATTTGCATGCCAGCCTGTTCTTATTACATGGGCAGGCAGATAACTACATCCGAGTAAAGGCTCACATATATCATCATACCACAGGCTAGTGTTTTGCATGTGTACTAACCAGACTGAGGGCTGTCGTTCCAAGAAGCAGTAGATACAATTTACCCTGCACAGATCCATTGCTAAACATCAGATCATAGAAAAGGTTGGCCAACATGCCCTTTTACTTCCTTGCAACTTTTGCCAGTTAATGGTCGGAAGTCAACACAATTCAGTAAGGATGAGAGCCTAGATTGTGGTTACAAGTACCAAAACCACAAAAAAATTCATACGCATTTCCCAAGTTCTAGCCTACAAAGTAAAACTTCAATATAAATGTAGCAGCTAAAAGCAATTTTCCAGACAAAGGGAAAGCTGAAAGGTTGTTGGTGTCTTCACATTAAAAGGGTGCCATATAAGAAAAGAGAAAAGCAAAAACGAATTCCAAACGAAGAATATGCATTCTAGCATTATGCCAAAAGAGCACCAGCATTGAATACAAACCTCAATCAGATGGAGATTAGAAGCACGACTTAGAAGAACAAAGGAAAATTCCCCAATTTGTGCGAGGGACATCCCAACCTACAGATATGAATAAACCTGAGGACCTTCTGTCAATGGAACAGATGAGATAACCAATATGGAGATACAAAGTGCTTTAGAAGCAATCCGAGATCTTACAAGGAGTGCTGTTTTGTTGTTGTATCTGAATCCTTTGACTACAGATGCAGTAATGATAGTTTTCACAACAATGACTAACAGTACCGAAGCAAGTAATATATCGACGTGATTCCACAAGAATTGAACATGGATTAACATCCCAATGCTTGCCAAAAAGAGAGCTGCAAATAAGTTGCGAATTGGTTCCACCTGAAAATTATTACATACAAATTAGAGCAAATTGGTGAGATTTTCAGAAGCAAGGCCCAGATGTTTAAGTTCTCAACCAAGACAAACACATTGGAAGTAACATTGCCAGTTCATAACTTCCACACCGAAGGTCAATTTATCTTTTCATCTGATTAACAAACAGGAACTAACCAAGGTCATCAAATTAACATAGTCAGGTAATACCCAAAATGATACCATAAACTAAATCTCTACTACAGGAAAAAATAAGATTGATGACCAAATGAGTAGCTGGTTTCCTGGAATAAATTTTACGAAGTTGTAGGACCATAGAACCATTAGTCACAATATTGACAGAGTTAAGTAGTAACATATTGTCCGAGTAATCCTCTTAACACATAGTGAAATACAATATAGATACAAATTAGTCATATCAGTGCCAAAAGGCTTGAGATGTCACGCAGTCTAGTCTTAAAGACATCTGGGAGGAATGATGTATTAATAACAATGAGGGTTCTAACAATTTATGACTTCTAAGATGGAAATACAACAGTCTTACTTGCTCGAGTGTATGTTGAGCAAGATCAGTTGTGGATATCATCACACCAGCAGCAAAGGATCCCAGTTCAAGGCTCAGACCCAACTTGTCACTACACTGGAATAAGACAATATCACATAAGCACGTGTGTACATATTTGGAAGTAAAGGAGCTCTGGTGAGTATAAGAGTCGACAGAACATTCTACTATGATATATGAAATATATATAAAAAGAATTTAAAAGAAGAATCAAATTGATTCAGAAAAAAAAAAGATTAAAAAGAAAGGAGAATCATGATTCAGAGACTTAATTTAGGTAAGGCCAAGTCCCTGATATCGTTAACTAGTGTTCTAGTAGTACAATAATACACAAACAATTTAGTAGGAGTCAGCCGGATGGGGAAAGAAGAAACTCGGTGAAGAAGGGTTACCCAGGCGACAAGCAGGCAGAAAGCCACTGATGCCAACTGATAGAGTTCATTAGTCTGTATAGATAAACCCCAGTCAAAATTTGGATCACGATAGAAGATGACATTAAAAATTTGGACAAACGGTTACCTGCGATGATAAGCTGATCATAAGCTTTAAGAACCATGGCACACAGGTACGAGATAGAATCGTTAAAGCAGCCAAAAATGCAAGTAGCAGCACTAACCTGATCGAAATATGAAATGAGACGATTACTGAATCCGAAATGAAATTAGTGAACTCCAAGAGATTACATGTACAAACCCTAAATGCAACCAGACTAAACATGAAGAATGAGGCTTAAGTAAATACAGCATCAATTGTGCAAGTATGTATCCTGCAAAATATGAAAATGATACCAAATAAACTCAAGTGCTTAAGTTCACAAGTCTTTAACCACCTTAAAATCTTACAAACTACAAAAATTTACGTACATAATAGTTTCCCAAACAAAGAGTAAACATCTAGCTTATATCAATTTACTTATTTTTTTTACTTTTAATAACATCTACATTTGATTGAGCATAAGCATGTTTTACTTACATTAACATTTACAATTGATGTACTACAGTAGGGTTCAGATACTTACAATTTAGTCATGGATATCACTCCCTGAAGAACACCAGATGTACCACCAAGGACAGGAAGTAAAGCAAACAGAAGACCAACAGCACAATCCTGATAGACCACGAATCCAAATATGAAAGGAAATTCCATGGATAGCAATAAAGACCGAAAGCTAAAACCCAAACTATCATTGAAGTTTGGAGTTTAGAAATCGTAATCTAAACATCGGAAAACGTCCTATTTTTAGTCCCTGAAGTTGTAAGTCCACTACAGGGTATTTATGCTGTTTTAAGTCTACCTGCAGAATGAGGATACCGACAGTGACCTGACCATACAGGGTATTTATGCTATTTCTTTCCATCAGAAATTTCAGAACCTGCAGCAGAACAGATTCAACCATAGATAAGAAAACAGTGGAGACTGTTGAGCAGACAGATCATCTAAAAAAACAGCAAGAAAGCACCGCAGTCAGCATAAAGGGTTCTGTTTCATTACTTGCTTGGCAGCCAAGTGATAGCACTACAAATGAAGAGCAGAATAGGCTAAAGAAGAGGAGGCGGGACTAAAAGAGGCACAAAAACAACTATAATTACTAATGAGTCATTCGTACAGTAGCAGACTGTATGTGCTATTGTTTCGCTACTTGTACAAATCCTGAAAGAATGAATAAACCAACATAGTTATTCTTTTTATTGATATATGCTTTTTATTGTCCAGTCTCATTTAAGTAACCATTTTATAAAAATAGTTTAAAACATCAGCAGTGACTAACATTGACAAGACCACAACTTAGTAGTATTCAAATGTCTCAGTCACGACCTTCCTTGGTCAATCTGACGCCAATGCCATTGTGAAGAAAGGAAAAGTTGAAAGATAGACCTAACTGGCAAACAAAAATGAAAACCTGAAATATGGCTGTCAACCCAAAGGCTGTCGTTACTGTATGAGTAGGAGTCGAGCAAGAAAGATCTAAAATCAAAGGGAAGAAACCAAGGATTTGCATCCTCTTTGCTTGAGAGCAATTAAGAGAAAAGGCTTGACATATGCATGGAAGAACACATTGCCATCATAGAACAGAAGGAGATTCAAACAGAACAAACTTCATCTAGTGAACTGTGAAATCAAATAACATATTTGGATCCGAAGCACACAAATACAGAAATCAATCAACCTATGCCAGAGAGTGTTACCACTGCAGTTGAAGACATTGAGAGAAATGCACCAACAAATACTCCTTCTGAAGGCTTACCTCCACATAACTGCAAAACAAACATGCGGTTAGAGGCATCACCAAGTTGCGGCAGGGATGTAACAGGGAAATCTGCAAATACGGTATAAAGAACTCCATTTTCTTTATTTAAACTGAAGTTTGTTATGACTTTCTCATCTTGGGGATAATTTCTTAGACTCATGCACATGAGCATATACAATAGAATTTAATTAAGAATGTTGGCCTATGAGAACTTAAACCATGCATAATATACCGAGGCTATCAATCCACAAAGGCACATAAAGAGCGAAATCTGGAGAAGACCTCCAACAACAGCAACTGCTCGGACAACGCGGAGCTGCATTTGGAACGGAAATGCAAAAGGTTATGCTATAAAGTAGTTAAAAGCACATAAGCCGAAAGGAAAATGTGCAGACCTTTGCAATGGAGAACTCCAGGCCCAATGCAAACAGGAGGAAAATAACACCAAATTGTGCCACTGTCTCCACCTGTCAATTTTACAGTATCTTATAAGAAAATAGAGGTTGTGATTGATTAAGAACCCTTGCTAGACAAGACATCAACTGAACGGCATGGGTATTCTCAGTAGCAAACTTTACAATTGCCCAAGTTTCATCTGCAAACATTGCTACCAAAGTAAAGTATGACGAGAAGATTTCATGGAGTAGAGTTTAAGGAAGTTCAACCTAACAGTCAGTACCTACTGGCGTATATATACTGCATCAGTTTAAGAAAAAAAATTAAAATAATGAATGACTTGAGAAAACTAGACTAGAGGCCAACCTAATGACATAAGGAACAAAAAGACACGAGGCACATGACACCTATGATGCTATGGTCGCGGCTAGATTTCAACTGCAAATAATGTTCACACACTAGAATGGTAGAATAAACGGAATAGATAATAGGAAGCTCATAGTGACTGTCTGAAACTTCACAGCTGCCTGAGTCTGAGATATGAAATTGTACATGAAATACATCTACATGTCTAAAACTTCTGGATTCGAAAAACAGCATGCCAACTTACCTGTACCATTTCACTGACAAAGCTGAAGCCCCCTGGCCCAATTACAGATCCTGCTAGCAGGTATCCAGTAAATACCTGCACATAGTGTATTCAATGACATCAGTGGTTCTTTAAATAAGCTAGGAAAGGAAACATCTTAAATGATAAAGCCTACTGAAATGGATTGATTCATAAAAGTAAGAGAAAGGAGGGAATTAATGAGCGGCAAGGATGTGAGAGAAACTTGTCAGTCAAAAAGCATCTAGCAGTCAAGTATGCTAACCGGTTGTCCAGCACAAGCAAATGCTATTCCGCCACAAGCAGCAGATACAATGACAACCACTAGATCTGATATCAAACTGTAATGATACAAATGTGAAACAGAAACAGAACAGAAGATATTAGTATTACTGCTCGTTGAATTTCTAAAGTATGAAGGATCAAGATGAAGAAATGAATAGGATCAAGCTCACGTTAAGTCTAGTTGTAGCACGGGATATTTGGACTTTCGATTTGATATAATAAAGACATTGTCCTGAAATAAAATGGGCAATAAGCAAAAGAGAAAGAGTGTATCAGTTCCAGATGCCGGAGACTTGCCTTCATAGATACTCCTAGTATTAGGCTTCAACTAAATGGCTCCAATATGTACATTATGAGTATAAAAGACAGATATTGATCATACCTTTCGATCAATCAATCTTGGAGCATCTTCCCCCCGGTTATCATTGTCAAAATGGAAAACATCATGAAACTGAAAAGACCTGGCATATTTCACAGAAGAGTCGGCACTTGTCAAATCTATTAGTAAAATTATTGAGTAAATGTTCAACTGCTACAAAATATCCAGAAGAAAATAAAATATGCAGCAGGTTGAACTCATACTTCTCCTCCTTGGATTCATTCTTCTTGGTTGTGACCCTGGCAACAGTCTCCAAAACTGCCTAGCGCAATGAAACATTTCCAAATAGGCACCGGTTAACACGGAGACAATAGTACACAATGAGAAATGTAATGCAGTTATGACTACAACCAAGGTCGGCATTCACAACTACAAAATTGCTTCTACCACCCCCCATCAAAGTTGACATATTTGGATACTTGCCCACACACAGCAAACTCCTAGTGCAATTCAAAACAAAAAAAGTACTACATTTTTGTTAATTGTACGCCTACAAGACCATAAAATTGAAGCCCATTGTTGAACTTGACCTATAATGAGTCATCAGCATCTTAACATACTACTACGAGCGATGATTTAACATTTTCTTATTCCAATACTGATGATAGTTCTACTGTGGGTGACACTACAATAGCTTCAATCTTGTTCTAGTACATTCTGCCTAAAACTCAAGAACCAAGTGAGCTCACTGTTGTGATATACGGTGCCAATAAACATATACACAGCATAAGCAACAAATTATAGAAACCTCTACGAGTTACACCAAAGAAAAGCTAAAAATGCTACCTACCTGCTGTCCAGCAACACTGTTATTGAAGCTGCCGGGATCAGTGGCTACAAATGCGAAGATGAATAAGTTAGATACTCAAAGCTTCTGTGATTTCCAATTCGAGCAACTTTGTCTAACAAAAGAACACTTTTTTCCACAAGAATTTAGGTCGAATCAGAGTGAAGACGGAACCCAATCAACGGAAGCTCAAAACAACAGCGCATCCCGATTCCAGAATTGAAGCTTTTCAAGGAAATGCAATGGAGTAATTGAAGAAAGAGAAAACACGGATTAGCTGCTGAATTGGAAAGGATTTGACAATCGAAACCTCACGGCCATTGCTGAAAAAGCTTCAGGAATTAGAGAAAAGGAGAATGGAGAAAGCGAAAAAAATGCAGCTCGCATATGAAGGAAGCTCGGATCCAGTAAACAGACCTTCACTCTGGTCCGTCTCATTGAACTCCTTCTCCAGCGCGCGATCGATCATGAAGGCGAAGGTGTCCTCCCTGGATCTGAGTCGCGTAGAGTTGGAATCCATGGTTGCATTTACCTCCACCGTGGAGTTGGACTCCCCATTGGCTGATTCAGTGGCAGGAAAGCAGAGAAGAAGAGAACAGAGGAGAGCCGGAGCCAAGAGCAATCTCATTGCCGTCTCCGTTCACCGACAGAGACAGAGTCTAGGAGATAAAATGGAGAGGCAGGAGGGAAGGAAGTGGGAGTCGAGCCAACGGGCGGTGGTTCTGGCCTCTGGGACTGAAACAAACGCCGACCGTTCCCCGAGTTACAGTGCTGGCGCTCAGGTGGCAGAGAAAGAGAAGCAGCGAAAAGAGCGTATTTTCGTTTGCTAGCTCCACCCTCCGTTTGGGAATTCGAGGGAAGTGAGGGGAAGAGCCAAAGGGACAATTTTGGATCCTTGTATTTTTTTGGTAAATTCCACTTTTGGACTTTCACACTTTGTTCATTTACTTAAAAGTGTCATATTTAGTCATTAGAACTATTTTAATTTTCATGTTGGTCACTTGAATTAGTAAAATAGTTTATATTTGGTCACTTTCCGTTAGTATCCATCAGTCTTCGTTAGAACCGCCTGTCATTTGCTGACATGGCTAGTATAAGTGCTGATGTGCCTTATTTTAACATGCCAAATCACCAAACCAGACCTTCCACGTCATCAAACCCTCCATGTCATCAAATTCAACCTAATCCATAACCCGACCAAACCCAACCCATAAATCAAAACCAACCACATCCACCAGAATCTCCTCTTTCTACATCGTCTCCTTCTCCTTTTCCATGGTGAGACCTAGCTCTTTTGTCACTCTCTGGCTTCCCGGAGTTGTGTGGTTAGGGCCGGAATAACTAGGCACTACCGCACTAGCAACATCAACCGCCATGAAACTCATTTCCATTTCCCTCTCTTCAATTTCTGAAAACCCAAAACCAAAATCATCTAGCAACCTCAACATAATGTCATATGGAGACACGATTGTCTCTACTCTCTCGTGAAATGTGTTTGTGATTGACCTCAGTTTTTCTAACGATCTGGTCTATTTTCACAACCCTAGCGTCAGCACATAACATACTCGATTAACGAAGTTGGATGAAGACTAACTGAGAGTGACCAAATGCGGATCATTTTACTAATTCGAGTGATCAACATTAGAATTAAATATTTCTAATGACTAAACATGACACTTTTTTGTAAACCCAGTGACCAATCGTGCAATTTATCCCTCACATTTTTTAAGACTAAATTATATATTGGGTCATTCATATCTCATTTCATTATTGGTCACCAATCGTTCAATTTCATCAACTCCTCATATATGGTAGTCAATGATAATTTTAACGGTTAAGTGCCGAAATGTCAATAAAAATAATTAAATTAATTATTTTTTGTATCCACCACCAAATGATCGTCCTATCGATTTCACCTTCTTTTTCTTCATGGATGACAATATAAACCAACAACATTGTTGTTGTTGTTTTTATCAAGTGGAAGTCGTCGTCGTAGAGATGATTACAAGAGGGGGAGGGGAAGAACTCATAGTAACGTTTCTTATCACGATGCTCCTTAAGAAGCTAACATAACGCATGTCTTCATTAATGATTTGTAGCAGTTCGGGTGGGAGTGCGCAAGTTTATGTGATTCAAAAGGATAGATGAGACTGTACTTCGAGAGTCAACCCGTTGCTCTAATCCCCTCATGATACGTATGAGAAATGCGAACCAAACAATCTTGTGCTATCTTGCGTCAAACAGACACCAAAATGGTAGCACGTGGGTGAATTGGATCAGTACGATGTTTAATGAGTCCCTTTGCAGTCAACGAATATGTCTCCAAGTTAATGGCATGTATACAACTATTCCATGCCATGTGAGCCCTTCATGTTTTGCCCAATGTTCTGCTACAACTATTGAGCTACTTCCAACCTTGTAAAGGAAATCCTTCGACCATCTCTCATTATTGTCTCGAAGTAAAGCGCACCATAACAGCTCCATCTATGTTCAATTTATGTCAACTAGTGGGTGGCAGGTTCCATCTAACTTGTGTTTTAGTTCTCCTTGACATTGTTGAGATTTCGTTAAGACTGAGACTTGGGGAATTCCATGCTTCAGCCAATAAACTTGTTATAGCTGAAATAACATTGGTGAGAGAGGGAAAAGACAACACCTTATTCGGTCCATGAAACGTGAGCTCATTCCTTTGCTTCCAAAGCATCCAAACTACAACTACAAAAAGGTAGCCCATGGTGGGCTGATGTCTCTACTAGTAAGGTTGTCCTGAAACCAGGTGGTGTCTAATTATGCAAAGAAAGCAGTTTTTTTGTTTTGAGGTAAGGTCTTATCCTAGAGATATTTGGTTGTTGTACAATCTCAGAGTATGTGAAGTCGATTTTTCATGGTGTTGTTGGAGCGAAGACAACTAGGCGTAAGAACAAGAAGTTTTGAGTGCAAACGTGCTCGAGTATTGATTTTGTATTAATAGAGGAACCAGACAAAGGTCTACACCCTCTCCGGCATTGGCAGCTTCCAAATTATCTTCCATGGTGGTTGTGTTGTTGTATACATAGGAACAGCATTCAGGTATGCTATCTTGTAAGTAGTCTTTGTTGAGAAATGACCATTTAAGATTTCTCTCCAGAAAAAGTGTGGCATTTGTCGAGGAGAATCGATCCAATGTCAAGGTTTTTATGTTGCCTGCCACCTCCTAAGGAAGGTAAGAGTCTAATCTTGCCTTGTTCCATCTTCCATCATCGTCGATTTAGTCAGCAACATGAGTGTTAAGCAAGTCCTTTCTGATTTTAGAATTTGTAACTTGAACTAGAGGAATCTACAAAATCCAAACATCAGTCCAAAACTTAGTGTTCAATCCATTTCGAGGACATCCTTGACGAAGGACTAAAGTAGCTTTAGTAATGCTACATTAAGTGAAAGAACTCCCGTTTAGAGCTTGAAGGATGTCCGGGTTGCGGATTTGTTAGTTGTCTTTACTCTTCAACACTCTGACCCAAAGTGTATACTTCTCTGTGAGTAGTCTCCATCTCATTTTGGCCAACATGGCAAGGTTGGCATGTCGGCTTGTCCTTATTCCAGTTCCATCTTGACTTTTTGGCTCTTGAAGCTTTTCCCATGATATCAAATGGGACCTCTTCTTTTCATTTATATCTACCCATATAAAATCTCTACTGCAACGATAAAAAAAAACATTGCAAGTGGAGGAAGGTTTTCAGTCTGCATGGGATAACTTGAAACAGAGGAGGAGACAGATTTCACCACCGTTAGTCTTGCAGCGAGAGAAAGTCTTTGAGTTTTCCAATGTGCCAATTTTTTCTACAATGCTACAGACTATCTATATGTATCGATCATTTGTTACCTTGCGATTGATCACTTGAATCCCTAAGTAGCGCCTGATGTCGGAGTTCAGAGGAATTCCAACTTTGTGACTAATAGCTGCTGCTTTGTTCCTTCTTACATTCATAGATACAAACATGAATAATTTAGAGAGATTAATGTGTTGCTACTGCTTATATTTGATTGAGCTCCGCTTAAGCACAAATGACCATATCGTCCGCAAAAAAAGGGTGAGAAAGTCTTGGTCCTCCAAAGTGAGTTCTAGAGGTTTCCACTTTTTTCATCTATAGCTTCATTTATTTTATGCGACAAATGTTCCATGCATAACAAAAAAAAGGTACGAGGAAAGAGGGTCTACATGGCGTACTCCCCTAGTGGGAAGAATTGGTGGTTTGAGTTGTTTATTCAAGTTCAACCTCATACTCTTACGTTGACCACAAAATAAAATTCGTTCAATCCAGGTACTTGGAAGCCGCGCCTCCTTGAGAGTGTCATGGAAGAATTCCTAGCGCAGTTTGTCTATGCTTTATCAAGGTCAATCTTGATTACTAAACCTCCTCGTGCCCGTATTTGTGTGTAATAAATGAAGCACTTCCTGCATTACAATAATTGTGTCTACTATTTGCCTGCAAGATATGAAGCTCCTTTGGGTCATCGCAATCGGCTTCTGCATAACTGGTTTAAGATCTTTTGTGATAGCCTTGGTAATGGCTTTCATACACACGTACGTTGTTGAAGCAAATAGGGCGCAGTTGGCTGACTAGGTATGGGTCTTCGACCTTTTTAATAAGCACCGCTATAGGCTCTGTTACAGTCTCTCGAAAATCATTTGTTTTAAAAACTTAATTGCCTTGTCAGTTAAAGCCTTGCCAACAACTCCCAAGCTATGTTGATAAAATATCGCTTGGAATCCATCATGGCGTGTAGCTTGTAAAGGCTTCATTTCATGGAGAGCTCGGTAAATGTTTCCTATTGTGAAAGGTCGGAGGAGGTTCAAGAGCTCGCTAAAATTCAGTAATGGGAACTGGCCTTTGGGCATCTTATTTGTATATTCATTAGAATCCTGCATATACAATTCAAGAAAAAATTTAAGACCAAATTAGCTAACTCCTGAGGATCCAACACCGAATCTCTGTTTGTGTTCTTCAAGCTAGTAATTTAATTTCGGCGGCATCTGATTGAGGCTTATTGGAGGAAGTACTTTTTATTTCTCTCTCTAAACTTTACGCATTTCTTCTCTTTCAAGGACTTGGTCGAGTTCTTTGTCAAGCTTTTTCAACATTTTGTCGAATCCGGTAGAGAAAGAGATGGATAGATGTTGTTGAATTCTATTAATCCATGCAAGTAGCCGCTTCTTCATGATGTGAATATTAGCAAAAACCGGTAGAATTCCATCCTCGCAACTTTTCTGCAAATTTAGCAGAGCCGAGGAGGAGGAGTATCTTGTGCCCAAACTCATGCAATAAAATCAGGAAAATCATTGTGACAAAGACACATAAATTCAAATTTAAAAGGTTTGTGAGAGTTATTGGAGGCTCTCTGTTTGCACATGGATATCAGGATTGGATGTGATTTGAGTAAAGTCGAGACAGGTGAGTGACTGTCGACGCTTTGAAAAGGGAATTCCATTTTGCAATGCAAAATCTCTTATCAGGTCTATTGGCTTTTACAAAATATATGTAATCACCTCTGGTCCAAATGAACTTCAGACCTGAGAAAGCCAAATCAATTAGTTCGGCTTGGTTAATCCAAGCATTGAAGCGAGTATAATCTCTAGTAATTGAATAATTGCCAACACCCACCTTCTCTGTGGAACACCAGATGGCATGAAAATCTCATGTGACTAGCCACGGGAAGGAAAGGTCCTTGCTGGTGGCTAAGGGTGGGCAACCGGTTCGGTAAACCCGAACCAAACCGAACTGAAACCGAATTAATGCTATTCGGTCCGGAATTCGGAATGAAAATATGGATAGTTCGGAAACCAGGGTTCTCTCAACCGAACCGAATTTCCAAATTTC